TTAAAAGAGAGGAAAACCATTTATGTCCCTTTCCCGTGAGGTATCCCATTTCTAGATAGCTGAGAGGGTTACCTTTTCATGGCATCAAGATGGATGTGAGAGGCCTCACCCTTACAAGGGACTTAGACCCTCTGGAGTAACTTTGCAGTCCCCCAGATATAAAATCTTTTGAAAACTTGAAATGCACTGTGTAATTATAAAGAGTTCAAGAGCAGCTGAATTGGATGAGACTGATGTTCCACCTAGTCTGGCATTCTCTTTCGCACCTTGGTCAGCTACACAGGCATTCGGCCTTTTTTTCTATCAATATAATAACATTCTAGCCTTGAGCCTCTATGTATCCTTCTTGAAATTTACATGAAAGGTAGAAAAGAAGCTGGAAATAATACTTTACATAAAATTTACACCTTCATTAACAGCCGGATCCCATGTATATTACTCAGAAGTTGATCCCAGTGACTTCAATTTTAACTGTAAGTATTTGAATTCCTTCGAGCGATTGTGTCTTCATGAAAACCCATGAGCATACCAGAGAGCTTAAACAGGGGAAACATTTCATAAACTGACAATAGCTCGAGAAATTGTTTAAAGTTTTTTTAATCCACTAGAACTGCATATTTTGGCTAACAGGCACATCTTTGAAAGCAGCTGGACAGATTCACTTTCTGTTGACAGAAGCTATATAGTGTATGGTTTCCTTTTAAAATAAATTTATAATCCCCATCCAATCTGTTTTACTTTTACAAAGCGAGGCACAAAACCCAGTATCTCTTAAGAGTGAATTGATCTGTGTTTAGTAGTTGCTCTTTGCTGAATTCATAAAAAGCGCCTTCTAGGATCAGACCAAAGTCCATCTTGCACAGCAAGCTCAGAGAGGTAGGAGCTGCTGTAAGTGAACTTTTCCTGGGATCCTCAAGCATATGGTGTTTGAGTAGTAAAATTTGTAATTTATTGCTTCCTGCCTTATCTTGCTGTACCCTGTTTCTCTGAATATTTTTCTCCCAGTCCAGCTGTTTTCTCATATCAGAATCTTGGATCTTGGAACCACTGTTCTCTCACTCATAGATGCTCTGATCCTCCCTCATCATTGATTTCTTGCATTTTGATGTAGGGTATTATAGGGTTGCCAGGTCCCCCCCCCCCCCTTGGGCTCCATTGTGGGGTAAAGTGGCCAGATCCAGGTTGAGAAACTCCTGGATATTTGGGGGTGGAGTCTGCGGAAGACAGGGACCTCAGTGGGGAGCAATGTCATAGAGCCCATGCTCTCTAGGGAAACTGACCCCTGGTGTCTGGAGAGGCGCTGTCATTCTGGGGGATCCCCAGGTCTCGCCTGGAGCCTGGCATCCCTAATGATGCATATGCGTTTTTACTTTTGGGGAAGGGCAAACTTCTGCTATCATCAGGAAACTGCCTTGAGAGTGTGGTATATAAGTACATTAAATAATTATATTTTGAATTTGCCTATCAGTGGGTGGAGATGCCTCTATTCTCCCTTGTCTTTGCACCCCTGCCTGCTTGTCAGTAGAAACAATCAAAGCATTTATTTTGGTGCTATGCAGAACTGGCTAGCACTGTGTACCTACTGTGTGTAAGTGGGTGGTCCTGTTATAGCTTCTGTTCCTCTGTCCCTTGCCCCTGTCTATCCTGCTGCCTTCCAGAGGATGCAAGCAAAGCATTTACCTTAGTTCCCTGCAGTACAGGTCAGCTGGTTAGTGCTGCCTACCTGTCACAGGAAGAGATTCATGTGGCTGCAATCCAAGCTTTCTCCTGCCTACCGGCCCAGCACAGCACAGCCACAGATAATGGAATAGCTCAGTCAGCCAGTTCCTGTGGTTCTGTAGAATCAGGAAGCATCCTGAAACCAGTAAAATAGTGCAATAATTGCTGGAAAGTGGAAATGGCAAACAAAAAAATACCAGTCAGGATGATCCTGTTTTCAGTATCCATCATGTTGTATGCTGCCCTGAGCCCTACTTTAGGGAAGAGCAGCCTAGTAATTCCAATTAAATAAATAAATAAATAAATAAATAGAATCTTCTGCCCCTGACAATCTGGCCGAGGCACTGGAGGCTTTTGGATGCTGTTGCGGCAGAGCAGGTTGCCGCTTAATCCATCAAAGACTGAGGTCCTGTACCTCAGTTGGAAGGGAGGAGATATGGGCATTAGGCTCCCCATGCTGGAAGGGGCATCTTTGGTGTCGGTCCAGAAAGTGAGGAGCCTAGGAGTGACATTGGATGCCTCCCTCTCTATGGAGGCCCAGGCTACTACAGTTGCCTGATCTGCAGCAGGTCGGGTTGCTGAGACCCAATCTCTCCTCCCAAGACTCGGCTACAGTGACCCATGCAATGGTCACTTTCAGACTTGATTAATGCAGTTCGCTCTATGCAGACTTACCCTTGAGGATGACCCAGAAATTATAGCTGGTACAAAATGCAGCAGTGTGCCTGCTAACAGTGACGCCTGTGTGGGCTCATGTTCGGACAGTGCTCCACCAATTGCATTGGTTGCCAGTTGAATTCAGGATCCACTTCAAGGTGTTAGTAATAACCTTTAAAGCCTTACACTGCCTGGGACCAACTGAGGGACCTCCTCTTCCCATATATGCCCCGAAGAGCGTTACGCTTGATGGATCAGCATCTCCTGGTGGTCCCTGGCCTGAAAGACATCTGTCTTGCCTCAACCAGGGCCAGGGCTTCTTCTGACCTGGCCCCAGCCTGGTGGAACAGGCTCCCTATTGAGATCAGGGCCCTGTGGGATCTTCTCCAATTCCGGAGAGCCTATAAGACATAGCTGTTCCACCAGGCCTTTGGCTGAGGCAGCAGACGTCCATATGTGGCCTCCCTGAGGTTTTTGCCACCCATTTTAACAACTGCTGGCCTCTATCTGCATCGTATTATAGGCCAGACCTCTCGCAACCGTTCAAAACCTTTACTGTAAGACTGTGATGGCAGAAGACAGGCGGGCCTGGCGTGATGTGGTCCATGGGGTCACGAAGAGTCGGACTCGTCTGTGTGACTGAACAACAAACAAAGACTGTGACCACCATTTTAATGTATATTTTTAATATTGTAATTATTTATTTTATTAATGAAATGTTGCTTTGTATTGTTGGCATGTTGTTACCTGCCCTGAGCCCACTTGTGGGAGGGGTGGGCTATAAATATAAATAAATAAATAAATATCCTGGTCATACATATCTGCTGATGGAGAGTCACTCTCTTATGTCTTTCTGTTCTCCCCATCTCATTTGTTGTTGTTCTTGTTGTTCAGTTACACAGTCAAGTCTGACTTTTCGCAGCCCCATGGGCCACATCACACCAGGCCCTCCTGTCTTCTGCTGCCCTCCGGAGTTTGCTCAACTTCATGTTCGTTGCATCTATGACACCGTCTAACCATCTCATCCTTTGCTGTCCCCGTCTTCTTTGACCTTCAATCTTTACCAGCATCAGGGCCTTCTCCAGTGAGAGCTCTCTTCTCATTTGGTGGCCAAAGTATTTGAGCTTCAGTTTCATTATCTGGTCTTCCAGGGAACAGTCAGGGTTGATTTCTTTTAGGATTGATTGATTTGATTTCCTTGCAGTCCAACGAACTCTCAAAAGTCTTCTCCAGCACCATAATTCAAAAGAATCTATTCTTTGGTGCTCAGCCTTTCTTATGGTCCAACTCTCACAGCCGTACATTACTACTGGGAACACCATTGCTTTGACCATACGGACTTTTGTTGGCAGGGTGATGTCTCTACTTTTTATTATGCTGTCCAGGTTTGCCATAGTCATAGGCACTAGAATAATAATACAATTAAAAGGCTTCCATCCACTCCTGTATTATCAGAAATATTTCTGAGTGGGTATGTTCACCTTAGACCTTAATTAGTAAGTTACCAACAGCACCAAGCAAATGTGGTAATCCATGTGTTGCTATTTAAAATATGAATTTGCAAATTCGTAGCACTGTTTATACACAGCAACACAGCATATTGCTGAGGGAGTGATGTTCTGGGCCTTTGTAATATTTGTTGTGGAAGATATAGCATATTGGATTAGCTTATTCAGAAGTTAAATCCTGGACATTTCTATGTTGTTTTCGTATGTTTTACCTCTCCTTTTGATCACTACATGGCTTCTGGTCCCTGGTGCTGCTGCAGGGTGGCTGTCATAAACATGTCCTGCCTCCTTATGACACATGGCAATTTCGCATCAGGTATGCACATTTCTGGGGGAGAAAACGACCCATTTAATGGGGAGGTAGGATACATTAACTGGTATTAAATGTTAAAGTGGTGATGGGACAAGACCATGTTTCCACTGGAAAAAAAGGACTTCCTTACTGGAAAACAGACCTCTTCCACTCCTATGTCTCACTGTGGTCTAAATTATTTGCTGGGGGCTGCTTCTTGGACTAACCTCTATAGGTTGAATGTATACATGAGGGAAGTTCTTAATACCTATTTCCTGGCTATGGAGAGGCTCACCAAAGTCCCCATCTGACTTGAGATTTTATATGGGCAGAATTCCATGGCTGTGTATAGGGAGAGTGTTATTTTTTATATCTCTCTTGCGCTCTCTCTCTCTTTCTGTATAAACTTATATTTCAAAATATGCCTTTAGAAATGCTGTCCCCTGTTCTGAGCCCTAAACAATAATGCAGTTTGTAAGCTGAAAGAAATCAGAGCCTGACGAAACAGGTTGGGAAATTCATGCCGTGCAAACTGGCACTGTGGGTTTTTTATTATTATTTGTTTGGCTTTAGCTCAGAAAACCTGGAAAGAGCCTTTTGACCAGGAGCCTTTGTTAACCTTTGGACGTGGCAGCACTTTGGGGAAGACCTTCAGAAGTCCCTGAGCTTTAAAAAAAAGTCTGCGGCTTTTAACAATGGCTTATTGTAGCAACGAGAAAAGAATGTGACCGACAGAGCTGCTGTGGGGTGTGGCCAGGTAACAGCAGCCAGCCCTCTACCTGCTCAGGTGGTTTACCTTTAAAGCAGCTGAAAAGGTAGCTGAGAAGACCAGCACCTGCCGGAGCTTCTGCTGGCTGGTGGTTGAGCAAAGTGTAAATATGTCTTGCTAGAGGGAGCATTTGGAGAGCCGTTGGAGAGAGGCAGAAGTCAGGATGAAGAAGCATCACTCTGTGCAGGGGACTATTAGCAGGCTCTTTGGGAAAAAACATAGCAACAGCAGCAGTCCCACCACCTCCCTCTATGTCACGAACCCCCCCTGGATCTTCACGCAGGAGGTCGCCTCGGACAGCCTGGCACGTTCGGGTCAGTACGGCTTCTCTTTTGTTTCCCCCTATGAGGCTTGCAAGGGAGGGAAAGGACCACTGGGAAAGATTACTTGCTTTCTCTGTGTGCAGTTTTACCTGGTCAGTCTCCAGATGGAAGAATATTCAGCCCTGGGAACAACTGGAAAACTCAGAAGTGGACTGAACAGCGGTTTGGGTGCTTGTTTTGTACCACTTGTGAGAGATCTGTAAAATAGCTATTACAGCTGGGAAGCTACAGGAAGCCTTTGATTAAAATGACTGGATTAAACAGGAGCATGTCGGAACCTGTGAGAGTACACTAGGAGCTCGTGATCAGTTCTCTACAAACAAAGCAAGGATAGAAGACCAGCAGGAGTCCAATTTAAGCAAGGGAATAAAGGGTGGTGGGTGCAGAGGCCACAGTATAAAATGAGTAACAGGTCCATCAGAGTGTAGTACAGAAATGTCTCTGATTTCAGCCATAAGGAAGCCATAAGAAGGATGTTTAGGAGGTACTTCTGGTGTTGGAGGCTGTAGACTGGTTTTATGACTCTGATTCCTGTCCTGTAATTTGTAAGTGTGCTATAAAAGCCCAGAGGTTGAGATGGGGGGGGGGGAGTTGTTAGTTCAAAATGTTGGACCATTACTGTATGTCATCTAAGAGAATGGGGGTTGTTCTAATAAGTTTAGGGTGTAGGCTATAAGACACAGCTGCTGTTTGACTTCTGCTTACTTCAACATAGGATTGTGTGGGCATCCCACACAACTGCTATGGGAGCAAACAGGAGCTTTGCTGTAGAGCTCTTGATAGACAGCACCCTTAGAGTTAAAACTTAGTTACGTAATTTGTACCAGTGTGTAAGTACAAGATAGGCAGTGGCGCTGACCAGTGTTCCCTCTAAGCTGAGTTAGTGTGAGCTAGCTCACAGTTTTTTAGCCTCCGGCTCACCCCTTTTTGTCTTCGCTTAGGAAGGATGGCTCCAGAGCAAACTGATGTATACAGCAGCCAAATCGCTCGCTCACAACTTTAATGCCAGCAGCTCCAAAAGTAGAGGTTTTGCTCACAAGACTCCACAGCTTAGAGGGAACACTGGCGCTGACTCTGTCTCAGAATTTAGGACAGTGAAATTTTGGATGAAAGAGAAACTTAAGCAGTGAGAGAAAGGGGGAAAAAATCACCAAGATTAAATGAAATGTGAAGCTATGCCCTTTGGCTTGCTTCTAGTTCAAAAGAATGAGTCAGTTCTTTGCTATGAAAAAATGTTCCTTATTTCTTAATTGCCAACTTTATGCCCCACATATCTGTTGACACTGGAGCTCTCCTGGACACAAAAGTCAGAAGTAGGCCCCTTGTAATTCCCAATTTGGGGGTCTTTGAGTAAATGATAATGGCCAAGCTGCTGTGGACCAAGGATTTCAGGGTGCATCTGAAATCCCTCCTCCCTCCAGGTTTCAGTCCCTTGCATTCTGTACTCTTCTTCATGTTTCCTATCCATAATTACTTTCTTTTCTCAGGACTGTGGGGCTCTTTTGGGGGATCAGGTAATAACTATATCAACAATGTATAAAAACTGTAAATAATGTCGAACAGAAGGCAGGTCTTATTGTGAAGTAGTGTGAGGTGCAGATTTTCACTTTGGGCAGCTGATTTCAGAGGGCACATTTTTTTCTGACTCCAGTCTCCCCACCTCTGTGTCATTTTTTAAAATAATAAATCCCTGAGTAAACCAGAAATACCTATTTTTCCTTTTCAACTCAGATGTGAAAATGTCTAAGAATAGTATTGTGCTGTACATGTACACACATTCATGTTTACGATAACTTTGCTGGTGTGCAAAGATGGGGAGGCTCCATCTCTGTTGAATTCAGAAGTAGCTGAGGCTGTCCTACGTGAACCCCTCCCTGTGAAAAACTTCTATAAAGTAGTGAGGAGACAGAAAGGTAAATATTTGGCGTTGTTTTCATCTAAAAGAAAAGAAAGCTTCAGTAGTGGAGGGATGAGGAACATTACGAGAGGTTATATGCACAGAAACCCTCAGAGGGTTTTACATTCATATCAAAGGTTGGGACTGTGACAGACAAATTGAAATGAGAATTTTGTTGGAGGCGGGCCTTGTTAGTAAAATACTGATAAGACGCTGTTTTAGCTTGCTTGATTTAAACAGTCTGAGCGACTTTACAGTGCCCTCTACCTCCCCAAAGAATGTTCTTCTGGGAAATAGTTTTCTGGTCTGTTTACATATGCAATCGTTTTATTTATTTTTTCATGGAGTCCTTCCCATGCATAACACTGCAAGTAGAAATGAGCTGCCCATGGACACTTCCAGCAGACACAGCTTGCCGTGGCCAGCAGTCATTGCTGAGTCTGCAATGGCTGCAGGCAAGGCTGCTGCAATTGTGGAAATGGCTACTGTCACTCCCAACCTAGGTTGCATGAAGAAAAGATCCCATATGTGTACCACCGTACAGATATTCCCAAACACATGTATGTTATGGGGTAAAATTCAGGTGGGTAGCCATGTTGGTCCAAAGCAGCAGAACAAAGTTTGAGTCCGGTGGCACCTTTAAGACCAAAAAAAGTTTTGCTTTCTTAGAGGGGTAGTCACTCAGCTGCTTTACTTTGACAAGGGATCACTTTGCCGTCCATTGTTTCCTTGTAGTCTCGCCATTTGCTTCTTGTATCTTTCTCTTGTCTGAATTGCTCTGTATCCTCTTTAGAGCAGATTACTTCACCCCCTGTTTGTACCTTCACATGATATAACATGATCCTGATCTGTGACTGTGACTCTAGGCACTGCTGTGGAGAAGCTAAACAGAATTATGCCAAGTCCGCTCTTGCCTGCCTTACTATTGAGAAATGCAGGGCTCGGCTTGGCAGCAATGTGGGAGATCCATGACCGGCTCACCCACTTTTCTTAAAAAGCAGCCATTGGGTACAAGTGTGATTTGGATGAGGTCCACTGTACTGGGGCAGGTGTGGTTCCCTCTTCCCTTGTGCCCTGCTTCCCCAAGAGAAACTGGCACTCCTCCGCAGCTTTAAAATCTGAAACAGAAAAGAGACAGGCAGCCTGCCAGTTCTGTTGTCCCAAGATATGGTTAGAAGATGCCTTATTGAAGTTAAGCTTGCCCACATCTGCTTAGTGCTTGGGCCTGAAATCTCCTGGGAACCCTATGTGCACTGCCTTGATTTCCATGAGGTGAGAACAGCTAGATATTAATGTAATAAATAAACATTTTAGGTGTGATGCTGACGTTACCCCAGGCTGAGCAAGTCCCTTTCCTTGAATGTCTGCAGCATACTTTCCATCATGCTGCATGTGCTAGAAAAGACTGAATGCATAAGCTAGTCCCCACCTTAGTTTTGCATCGGATGAATTGCAAAGTAAACACAGGTTACCCAACCTGAAATGGGTGTAGGCTTGTGGGTGTCACTGACTCAGAGATTCTTGAATCACTTCCCTGGTGCCTCCCTCCCCCCTACACCTCCCTTACAGCTATGGATGCAGTTGGTATAAGGAGATAGCTACACCTCTCATGCGTAAAGCAATTAAGGACACAGTATTGCTAGAAATAATTAGAAATTGCCCCCTAACAAATCATACAGTTAGATTAATTATATATTAATTATATATCAAGCACCAGGTTCTCATGAAACTTGGAGATACTCCTAATACAAATATAGCCAGGGCACTGGGAGGTGCTAGTGACTGTCTTCTGCGGATTCCTCATCAGACAGAGCTTTCGGCGTCCTTCTTTCTCAATTATGCATTATTTATTGTTTTAATTATTGTTTTAATTATTATTGTTTTTGATTAATTAAATGGTGTTCCTCTCTGGAATTAAAAAAAAATCTTTATTTTTTTACTTGTTGTGGTGATAGTGATGCTAGAATAATATATTAAAAGGTATTGCCATTTTGGAAGGAAGCTGCTTTGCTGACCTCTGATATTTTCCATTTGAAGCACAAATATTCACCCATGAGCACAGGGCACTTCCAAAGTTATCAAGATAATCACAGGGAGTTCTCAAAGTACGAAGCATAGGTTTCTGAGTTAGCAAAGGCAGCGGTTCTCCTTGGCTCTTTCCAAGAGATTCTATTGGAGCAAAAGGGAGGAGCTGTATAAGCTATATTTGCTGGGGTGTTGATTGAGGGTCACTGAACTGTTGTGTACGTGGACTGCCACTAGGGAGCTTGGCTCCCCTGGACAATGGGAACATAGGATCCTGGTTCCCCCCAGCTCCAACCAATGGCCACTTTGGCGGGAGAGTCAAACCCTCCAATGGACTAGGGCTGTGCTTGAACTTTATTAGACCTATTCCATTTCTTGTTTAAAAATGGCACTTTTGGCTCTTTTGGGTACATCTTAGAGCACTCTGTGAAATCGCATCGTTTGGAACCTCTCATTTATAAAATGTATTCAGATTAGGGTTGTCAAGTCTATTTACCTTGGCGGCGGGGGAGCCTTGCCGGGCTCCGGGAGCTGTCGGTGGTCGTGCGCGCATGCGCCGCCAGGACATCACCGGAAGTGACGCGCAACATCGACACATTGAGGACATGGCCCCACTCGTCGGAGGGAAAACTGTAGAGTTTCCCCTCCAACGATCGGGGTCATGCCCCCAACGTGATTGACGTGGTTGTGTCACCTCTGGTTCAAGCACCTCTGGTGACACAGCCACGCTGCGCTTCAGGGTGCGGAGTTTCCCCCGGGGCCCGATTTCACGGCGGTGGAAATCAGGCCTCCAAAGTGGGGGTTTACCCACCACCCGCCCCCACTTGGCAGCTCTAATTCAGATATTAGATAAGAATGAACGTTATCAGTCTACATGCAATTTTTGTAAGGTTGTAAGACTTAGGCTGCAGTCACACTGGAGGCGTGGCACGATCTGGCCACACTTCTTTTTGCGGTGGTTTAAATAGTTGCAGGAAGTTTTGATCAGACATCCCACTCTGAACTGGCTTCACCACAGGCTGGCCACATGGTTGTTCAGACCATTGTGGCATCGTTCTTTCTTTTGTCT